CAACTACTGAATGCATGGACGAGTGGAGCAGCAGGTCGATGTTTCTCTTTGTGTCTCCCTCCCACTCTCTAAAATCAATACCTAAAAAGTAATAAAATAATATCAAGTGGGGTTTTTTATCTTCATCCAAGCATATATTTTCATTGATTTTAGAGAGAGAGGAGGGAGGAGGGAGGTAGGGAGGAAGGGAGGAAGAGAATGAGAGAAAGAGAAACATCAATGTACACTGGGGATTAAACCTGAAACCTAGATATGAGCCCTGACTGGGAATCAAACCTGAAACCATTTTGGTGCACGGGACAACACTCCAACCAACTGAGCCACCCAGTCAGGGCTTCAATGTGGGATGGATCCTTATGGTCATCTGTAGAAAGAGCATTCTAGCCAAAGGGCAAAGTCCCTGAGGCAGGGACTTTATATATTCTTTTCCTTGATTTTAGACTTGCCTGCTAACCACTAAATGGGGATAACACCTGCTTTTGCCCTGGACATTCACTTACTTCCCTGCAACTAGCCCAGCCGTGGGCAAACTACGGCCCACGGGCTGGATCCGGCCCGTTTGAAATGAATAAAACTTAAAAAAAAAAGACCGTACCCTTTTATGTAATGATGTTTACTTTGAATTGATATTAGTTCACACAAACACTCCATCCATGCTTTTGTTCCAGCCCTCCAGTCCAGTTTAAGAACCCATTGTGGCCCTCGAGTCAAAAAGTTTGCCTACTCCTGGACTAGCCCCATGTGACAACTTCCCCTGAGTCTCAGGAGAGAATGGGATAATCTGGGAAAGTGGGAAGGAAAGCCCCCACTAATATTTAGGTTAGATCCCCAACTGATCCAGATTCCTGCCTCTGGGCTGGGACAGTGGCACAGTTTAGCCCAGTTAAATGCATTAAGGGATGTTTGACTATCAGGAGGGACCATCTCATCTAACCCAGGCCCAGACTCTGAAAGGGAAGCCTGCACAGGGGCCCAAAGGAATTCTGGATGAGTCATCCGCACCTACCGATGGGCCCTGGGGTGCTGGGTGCCCTGATCTCCGTGGTCTCTCTGCTGCACTAGATCTTGAGGCACTTAGAATTCACAGTGAACTTCCCTTCAGTGAGTTCCCTGTCTGTGGCCTGGGGTAGGAGGACCAGACTGCTCTGCGTGGCCTCTTTTCCTCCAGAAACAGAAGCCCAGGAAGGTCAGAGTAAGGTCAGAGGGGTATCAGGCCGCCCTGGAGGAGGTGAAACTAGTTCTTTCCCAGGGCCTACCACCTACTTGCTGTGGCCAGAAAGCCATTCCCTTCCCTACTGTTTTGATCTCATCACATCCCTTTGAAATTAGATGAATCACTCTCTAAAACCTGCATGTACTTCATATGGTGAACTTCCTTGTGTTCAGTGCTGGAGAACTGAAGGGTCCCAGGTTTGGTTCCGGTCAAGGGCACATGCCCGGGTTGTGGGCTCGATCCTCAGTGGGAGACTTGCAGGAGGCAGCCAATCCTTGGTTCTCTCTCATCATGGATGTTTCTATCTCTCTCTCCCCCTCTTCCTTCCTCTCTGAAATCAATAAAAATATATTTAAAAAAAAAAAAAAGGAAGAAGGAGGGGTGAATTTGTTTTCAGGATGAGCAGAAACTGCGACACCTGGATGGGAGACAGCTGGATTCTCCATCTCTCTCCCAGGGTCACAGAGTCTCTCTCCAAACTTGTTCTCTTCTCTCTCCCACCCAGCCAACTGTCCCTTTGTTCCCCCTTCACTCTGAGTTTCCTTTCCCTTTCTCCTACCTTCTGCTTCCTGACAACTTCTGCCTCTTCATATCTGAACGTACTGCTGATCTGACCATCTCCTGGCCCCTCCCTTTCCTCACAGTGTCTGCACCAGCTGCTAACTGCCCAGTGCTGCAGCTCTTCACTCACGGCCCCAGCCCAGCTCATCTGTTTTATGCCAGGGCTCATCATACATCTGGATTGGCTGCTCTGGGTCATGCTCCCCTCACGGGCCAAGAACAAAGGGCACTAAGGTGGCCAGTACAAAAGGTGGTCCCTCCCCCTGGTACCCTGGGTGATTCGAGTTCTACTATTAGTCTGTCTGCTACCATCCCAGATTCTCTTTTTCTTTTTTCTGTTTTCTCATCTTGAGTTTCATTTTGTTGACCTTTATTTTTGTTGCCTAGAGGTTGTTTAAGGGTCCTTAAAATTCCTCGGGCACCCAGCCTGGTTCACTGTGGAGGCGCCTACCCAGATGGCTGGCGGCGGGAGAGGCATTCATAGTTAAACAAACAGTCATTTCCTCCGTTGTAGGCTCACCTTTCATCAGAAAGGGAGGGGCAACCATATTTAATAAACACCATCCATTAGGTTAGATCAACAGCCTCTGAATATTGCCTTTTTTCTAGAAACAGTATCTCTCCTGCCTTCACAGAACATGTGGTCAAGAGGAAATTGAATAAAGGCCTTTAATCAGCCGCAGTAGTATTTGAATCGTTTAATTTAAGATCTGACAACCACAAATTACTTTATTTTTCAGGCCAATTTTAGCTGGCCAGGAGAGCTGGCCCAGTTGGACTTGTGCTTTATAAATCAGTCCTTTGCCTGATCATGGAAAGTTTGGGGAAGAGATGTTGCTGGGGCTTTTCAGACGCAATAAAAAGCAACCCCCATGCTGTGCATATCTGACTTGAGTCCTCGGCCATCTCCCTTCACCCGGTTCTGTGGCTGGAGGGAAAACCCTTGGGCTGGAGGGAAAACCCTTGGGCTGGAGGGAAAACCCTTGGGCTGGAGGGAGTCAGAGACGTGCTGCAGGGAGCTGTCACTTCCACGCCCGTGCTTTTTATTCCTGGCGCCAAGTTCTCGTGGCCAGGAAAGCAAGTCAAATCAAATTAGACGCCAGACACACGCTGCTTATTGTAGCTCACCCTCTGCTGCCTTCGACTTTTCAACACCTGTTGAAACCCTCTCACTGGAGAAACTGAAAGAAAAGCTTCTGATTTAAAATAACACCCACGAGACATCCCTGATGTGGCCTCTTCCAGACTCATGTTAAATCACCCGTGAGGTCCCAGGAAAGTAATACAAGACCTGCCCCTTCAGAACCAGTTCCACGTCAGCTGTGTCTGAGGCCCTGGCAGACATCCTCTGACCACTGGGCAGATGCTGCTAAGAAAAACCCACGGGCCTTTATTCTATCCTTATTGCAAGTGATAGCCACATGTCTGCACGAGGAGTTGCTTTTAGGCTGGCCTGCTCATTTCTCCATCTGTTCTAAGGAAACAAAATGGCAGGAACAAGGCCTATGGCCCTCTTGGGAGTATAATACCTACCAGTAAGTGGCATTAAAAAAGGAAGAATCTGGTGTGGGCCAGTGCAATCATGGAATTGTAAATTTTTTATGAAATCCAGTTATTTAGTTTCTTTCTTAGCGACATGTTGCCCAGCCAGCGTGGCTCAGTGGTTGAGCGTCAATCTACGAACCAGGAGGTCACGGTTTGATTCCCGGTCAGGGCACAGGCCCTGGTTGTGGGTTCGATCCCCAGTGGAGGACATGCAGGAGGCAGCCAATTCTCTCTCTCCCTTCCACTCTCTTTAAAAACCAATGGAAAAATATCCTCAGGTGAGAATTTTTATTTTTTTATAAAGAGAGACAGGTTGATGTGAGAATAGAACCATCAACAGCCACGGTTACAAGAGCGCACATGTCCCGGCAGGGACCCAGGAGATCCTGGGGAAGAACTAAACGTGAGAGCCTGCCAAGCCTCCTGGAACTGTCTAGTCTCAGGCAGCATCTCCCTGGTCCTGGCCTGGCCTCCTCACCAGTCTCCTGGCTCTGGGCAGTCCCCCTCTGCAGACGGGCCTTTGGTTCCTGCTCCCTGCAAAACTTGAACGCACACAGCACAGTTCCGTGTTCATCTGCTCATGACAGTGGACCTAGTAGTTTAAGAGCCAGTAGAATCCAAGGAGGCGCCCCGCTGGCCCCTTCGTGAAGGTATCCAGGGAACTGAGTGCCTCATGCACTTTGTCAAAGTCCGGAGCTGCTGCAGGGCTACTGTCCTGTAGGCGTTTGTCAGAAGGCCCCTTTGGGAACTTGTCTCAACAACAGCTGCCGATGCTGAGAATGGGGGCGGGGATGGAGGAAGGGCTGCTGAAGCCCCTCATTTCCCCCTAATGGCACCACCTTTGCCCGTGCCCTCACCCCAGCCCCGGGCCTGACTTTTTCCATTAAACCTGACTCGGCCATTTATTCCTGTGTACCCTTGAGCCCCTTTCTCAATTTCTTTTTATTTTATTTATTTTTATTGTTAAATCCCACCTGAGGAGTGAGGATATTTTTTCCATTGATTTTTTAGTGAGAGTGGAAGGGAGGGGGAAGGAGAGAGAGAGAGAGAGAGAGAGAAGAACATCAATGTGACACACACTGATTGGCTGCCTCCCACTTGTGCCTCGACCAGGGTGGGGGATTGAACCTGCAACTGAGGTATGTACCCTTGACTGGGAATCGGACCCTCAACTCTGGTGTGTGGGCCAACACCCTAACCATTGAGCAAAACCGGCCAGGGCCTTTCTCAATTTCTGATCCTCAATTTCTGAGCCCTTCCCTTCTAGGGCTGTTGTGAAGATTAAGTGACATAAGAGTTGAAGACCATATACTATTTGGGAAATAATAATGATAATAGATCTTTTTGACCTAGATGCAACTAGAGATCCTAGAAAACGTAGATGAGTGTAGGCTGGAGATAGGATCTTGTTCTAGAAATATGAATAGATTTTGAATTGACACAAGGATGAAGTACATTTCATTAAAGAGAAAATGAAGATAATTTATGTGTAGCCCTACAAACATGACTCATAGACTAGAACCATAAAACAATTTGTCTTTGTCTCACTGTGTCTTTTAAACGTATACTACGGAGCTAATTTTTTTTCTTGCCCCTGGATGGAATTTAAGCTACATCCCCACATGACCCCTTCTTTATTTACCCTCTGGCCTGGCAGTGACTTTTGGCTTTCTTCCCCCAGGAGAATTCCTAGATCAGGCTGGAAGATGACCCTACTCTGGCTCTCTCATGTCAGCGGCCACCTTGCATCCACTGAAGATGTTTGCTCATCCTTTGCCCTCATGACCTCTGCACATGGTCCCAACACGGCTACTTTCCTAGCTGCCCGGCGAAGCCGTCTACTCTCCCGTCTCCTGCCACTGAGATTTCTCTGGCATCAGCCGGCCCAGTTTACCGAATCCCTGAAGCTCCAGAGGACACGTGTTGAGCTTTTTGAGTGTCTTACAGGCGCCTCTTTCCCCAAGCTTGAGGTGAGGAGAAGCACCCTGCACTATCACCTGGGGACAGGGGAGTCACAGCCCCAAGCCTCCAATATGCCCACAAGTCCAGCATGCTGCAAACGCCCAATACATGGAAGCCATCCCAGGCTTCTGATCCTGCCTCCCACTGCCCCTGTCCTGACAAGTCCCAAGCCCACCCTTCAGTGACACAGTTATCGAGAGCCACGCCGGGATTCCACTACAAGCCAAAACGGGCCTTTCTGGTCTTTGCCAACTCTCTTCAGGGAGAAGAATTGTGAGGCCAGGTGGGTGGGTGAGAGGGAGAAAGGTGTCCCAGCCACAGGAGCAGTGTCCCAAGCAGGCACCAAGCAACCCCCACATGGGCTGCCCTGTTGTGTATTTTTCCTGTTAAGGACTTAACCGGGGAACCCATTGAGAGAATTATGAGGCCCTTTGTTCACTGTGACCAAAAGCGTTTCAGGTAGTGCCAGGCCTGGAGGCAGAATGAAAACCTTTGCCCCAGGAAACAGAAGAGGAGGAGGCTGAAGAGAGGAAGGCAGTGGGTGTAGAGGGAGTGAGTCCGAGTTGCACTGGGGAGAAACCTAGGGTCCAAGGGTCAGGCCAGAAGCCCTGGGGGAGGGATGTGGGTCCTGTTCTCAGCTGGCCCAGGAGGAGACAGATGGTCTGGAAGGCCAGGCAGTACCCTAGGAACGTCCACACTGGCAAGGCCTATCTCAGATGATTAAATGACAGCAGACAAATTTAACTAAACATGAGTAATGGGAACACAAAGGGAACGTGAAGAGAAATAGAATATTTCAGCAACATAAGGAAATGGGAAGAAAATGACTTTGCAATGAAATGTCAAACTTCTGCCCTAACTGGTTTGGTTCAGTGGATAGACTGTTGGCCTGCGGACTCAAGGGTCCCAGGTTCAAATCCGGTCAAGGGCATGTACCTTGGTTGCGGGAACATCCCCAGTAGGGGGTGTGCAGGAGGCAGCGGATCGATGTTTCTCTCTCATTGATATTTCTAACTTTCTATCTCTCTCCCTTCCTCAATAAAATATATTTTAAAAAAAAGAAATGTCAAACTTCTGTTCCTGGAGGAGAAGTAATCTGGTCATTATAGGCTCAGGGAAGCTGGGGAGTGTGTGGTTATTTCAAGCAAATTTTAATTCACTTTAATTTAATAACATATGGCCAAGTTCTTTTGGGACAGTGTTAGGGGACCGAAATGGGAACCGGAGAGTGCCAGCCCTGTTGACTTGGGTGTTTCTTGTTTGTTGTTTTACAATGAGGAGCTGTACTTAGATTCATTCATCCAGCCATTCATTCATTCATGGAGTGCATGTTAAAGCCTAAGGATTAAGAAAATAAATGACTCAGCCCTACCAACCCTACCTGACCAGGAGATCCTGGTCAACTGGGGAGACAGTCAAGTAAATAGAAAGTTACAATGTAGGGCCACATTCTGAACCTAACACTTGGTGCTCAATGGAAGCTTGTGGAATGAAAATGCATGGTTGGGAAGGTGGTTCTGAGAAGGCACCAGAAAGGAGTAAACATTAAGCTGGGTTTTGAAGGATGAATAAGAGTTCACGAGGTAGGCAAGCAAGTCAGAAGCAGTCTGGGTAGAAGATACTACATGTGACATGGTACAATGGATCACATGTAGCAGAGGGGTGCTGGTTACAATCATGACGCTGGAGGAGATTGCCCAGGAACGGGAGACAGGATTAGAAGTGGGAAAGGGCAAGAAAGAGATGCAGGATCAGTGGGTCACTGATGAGAAATAATCCCTCAGGAAGGTAAACTCTGAAGAGAGGACCTGTTAGCCCACCTAAAGCTCACCACCACTGAAATCTCTACTCCAACTACAGATGCCTATTCATCCTTAGAGCTCAATTCAGCATCACTTTCCTCCAGGAGCCATTCTTTCTGGCTCAGGCTGTAGTGGGTCTTCCCCATGCGTGCTCCTAAAACATCCTGTGCCACCAACCTTGTCACTGCTTGTCTCCACCCCCAAGGGTCAGCTTGTCTCTATGCTTGCCCATCTCCCACCTAAGGCTGCCGTGCCCGGTTCTGGTGATGCTCCCACCACCACCACCACCACCACCACCACCACCACCACACTCATGCCCACCTGGATTCTGGCCAGGCTGTCCTGTCTATGGGATCTCATCGTAAGGCTGGACAAGGTCCATATGGAGAAGTAGCGCCAGAAGCTTAGGTCTGGATCTAGGGCTGCTTAGGGGGTGGGGAGTGGGGGGTGGGGAGCTGGCCAAGGGAAGGGTATTTTAGTTTACATCACATCAGACTTTGCAGTCTTTAGGGGGCAGTGGAAGTACCTGGGTAAAAGCCCTTCTTATGTCCCCAGGAGCCTGGTTGAAAGGGTTGGCTGGTTAGGGCTATTGTGTCTGGGTGACAAAGACAGAGAAGCCTGGCCCCAGGGCAGAGAGGACAAATGGTTAAAGAGGCGGAGTGGGGAGCGGACTCACTGAAGCCAAGGCTAAGGACAGGGTCTAGCAGTACAGCGGACCATGTCACAAGCCATCACCTCTCTCTGGACCGAGCTGCCAAGGGGAACACACGCCCCGCAAGGGAAATGATGGATTTGCAGGTGTCCTGGGTGTCCACTAGGGGGCAACAGAAGTTAAGCCAGCTGGCGGGTCGCCATGGTAACCGAGGACCATGATGCTACGTTATCCCTAGAAAAGGCAGGTAGGTTCGGAGAACGCCCAAGCATGGCGTCCCGGATACCACCAAGTCAGTAGCCATCAGTTTCAAGCAAAGACCCAGGCAGGGACAAAGGACCCAGCGTGTGAAGAGGTTTGGGGGCACCACTGGGGCATCTGGAGGCCCCTGCCAATCTCCCTATATTAGAGATTGTTATGAATCTGATTCTGCTATTTTCTCCTACTGCCTGTCATTCGTGGGTCCTTGTTTCTTATATGTGTTTTGTAATTCAAGACTCTGAGCTCATATTTCTTGGTATCATATTTGGGGAAGCCTGGGCTGAAGGCCCGGTCCTCCAGGCAGGATGTGTGTTCACTTCTGCCAGGTTCCTGGAAGCACTGTTAGCTGGGACCAATACATAAATTCTCAGTTTGCAGCTTTTTAGAGGACCTAGGGACTGTGAATTCAGGCTGCAAATCCACATAGGGACCAGCTTATACTTAACAAATTCTCAGGTTCCAAGATTTGAAACAGGCAATTTACCTGTGTTCACCCTTGGAGTACCAATTAAAAATGTTTTTTTTTCTCATTGATTTTAGAAAGAGGAAAGGAGAGAGAAAAATATTAATGTGAGATAGAAATATCGATTGCTTGCCTCCCTCATGTGCCATGACCAGGTATCACACCCACAATCTGGGTATATGCCCTGACCAGGTATTGAACCTGCCACCTTTTTGTATATGGGACGATGGTCCAACCAACTGAGACATACTGGCCAGGGTCTTGAAGTTCCAATTTGTATTGATATGTGTGTGTATGGCACTTGAGTTTCACCTGGTGCCTATAGGACCACGAAAAACAAAGCTCTTTGGCAAATGATTTCCAGGTGAAAACTAGCTCTGTGTCTCATCTACCTCTCTAAGTTATTATTTTTGCTTAAATTTTGGCCTCGATGCATGCCTTATGAATTTTCCAGCTCACCAATGGCATTTTAAGAGATTTAAAAAACAATTTCATCCACCATTAAAGTTGCTTAGCCACGCTGGTGGGAACAGAAGTGCATTTGTGAGTCCCTTAGAGGAAACGCACGGATACCTGACTTGGGAATCTGGCTCCACTTCAACCTTCCCCAGTTAATTCCAAAACTTCTTACAGTTCTGAGCTGCCCCCACCCTCACCCCATGGGCCAGCTGGTTAAAGCTCAATTATTTTCCAGTTCATCCACTTACTACACAAACAATGAAAACTCACGCTGCTCTCCTTACACTCAGCCTGTTCTCTAATTCCCCTTTCCCTTGCTCGGGGAAGCACTGGGTAGTATATCACCCTCCCCTTCTCTGGGTGCTGTCAGTGTTTGAGCGGCTTGCTTTCTTACATTCACCTTGGAGGTGAGCAGTAGAACACATTCCCCACTAGGTGGAGGCCTTGCTACTCTGAGGAATTCTTCCTTTTCTTTCTCCCATCCTAATCTCTTTATAGGGGTAATGGGGTGGTGTTGGGCCATGATTAATAACAGTAGCAGGGCAAATGCAGCACCTAACTCCTGTTTGTAAGATCTGAGAGTATCTATCCCCAAATGTTTTCTCTCTCTTTAGAATGGAGAATAATTTAATCTCAGCCCGGGGTCCTGGTTACCATTTCTGGGACAACAGGAAGGGTTTCTCCTCTCCTAGTAGTAAGTGATTCATTTGGTTTCTCCCCTCGTAGTAGTGATTCCATTGCTGCTGCTAATCCAGTGGCTCTCATCACACTCAAAGTCCAAACTTGGGTAGTTCAGTTGGTTAGTGTGTAGTCCTGAAATGCCAAGGTTGTAGGTCCAATCCCCCCGTCAGGGCACACACAAGAATCAACCTATGAATGTATAAGTAAATGAAACAACAAATAGATGTTTCTCTCTCTGAAGTTACTTTGTTGTTCTGTTTACGTATTGCCCTCTTCCACAGGAGTGCAAGCCGCGCCCCCAAAGCTGGGTCTTTTCTGAGCGATATCTGCTGTATCCCGCCCCTACCAACATGCCCAGGAGCGCTGTGACTTATTGGAAGAGATGGACATTGCAGTATTCAATCCCAGCTCCGTCTGCGCCTGGAAAGATGTGCGCCTTACTCCCCGGCGGCCTCTGAGGGGCCGCGCCCGGGGGCCTCTGGGAAGTGTAGTCCGCGCGCTCGCCGGACCCCTGGGTTGCTGGAGCGAGACTCCGCGTGCGCAGGCGCACTTCCGGCTCTGCCCCGTCGCTGCGGCCATTGTCCAGCCCCGGGGCGGCTAAGGAGGCTTAGGGCCTCACCTCCGCACAGCAGAATTGGAGAGGACTGAGCCGGAGGCGGGGGCGAGGGCGAGAGGAGCCGGCCCAAACCTTGGGTGGGCCTGAGATCGCAAAACCCGGAAACTCCAGGAGGCAGTGATTCCGACTGTGCGGGCAGGAGCTGCACCTCCCACGAGTTTGGCGCGTGTCTGCGGGGCCGCGCCCACCATCCTGCGGGTGGGACTGGGCGTGGCCAAAGGAGGGTGTCCTCGACTCGGTAGGCGCTTAATTTGGTGGAGGGGGTGCGGCAGGCCGACGCGGCGCCCAGGCACCTCTCCACCCCTCTCCCGGGAGACGTGTCTGCGAGGCGGAGGCGGGCCCCGCGGGACGGGGTGGGGGTCGGTGGGTTCCGCGCGGTGAGTGCGCCCTTTCTTCTCTCCCCAGTCTCTGTCTGGGAGCCAGGCCCGGCGAGGCAGGAATGGCCCCGAGGCCGCCGACGGAGGCGCCCCAGGTGAGCTGCACGGACTTTCGTCCCCCGGGAGTGTTTGGAGCAGTCATTGTTCTCCTGGGGAGACGTCGTTTCCTGGCCCGGCCGCCCCCTCGGGGTCCCCCACCCCTGTGAAACCCGAGGTGCCCAGAGCTGCGGGGAGCGGGCTTCCGTAAAGGGGGGCTGTCCCGGGAGTGGAGGGGACCAGGGCCGGGGGTCGCCTAGGAGGAGTTAAGAGCGGATGTGTTGGGAGGTGTCAGTATTGAGAATCCTGAGAGCCAAACCGATTCCGTGAACTCTTCTTGTCCAGGAGGAATGGAGAGGGTGGGTGACCGGATGGGAAACTGTACCGGAGGGAGTGATGGCCAGTGAGTGAGGAGAGCGGAGCCAAGCTTCTGATCTAGGAAGCATGGTCTGGATTTGCCGAGGAAGAGGCTGGAGATGGGCTTTCTTGGGCAAGGAGTGGGGGTGGGGGCAGGGGGTACAAGGAGGATTGTCCCAGAGCTTTTCGTGTCTTTCTGCTTTAACAAAGGTATTGTAGTGCACATCCCCAGATGTCCAGCCTTCGGGGTCATTAGCATGAAGCTCATTTGTGCGGGAGAAGGCATTTTTACAGAAGCATCACAACTGAGGTTGTCCAAGGATTTACTTAGAGTGTATCGGTGAAATACAAGGTCCAGATGGTATTTTAATCCACACTCTTTAGAATTAAGGAAAGATCATATTCTGATTGTTATGTGTATGAGACAAGATCAATCCAGACAAGATCAATATATATATATGTTTCAGAGAGGAAGGGAGAGAGAGAGAAACATCAATGATGACAGAATCATTGATCAGCTGTCTCCTGCATGCTCCCTGCTGAGGACTGAGCCTGCAGCCCAGGCATGTGCCCTAACCAGGAAGCCAACCTGACCTCCTGGTTCATAGGTGGATGCTCAACCACTGAGCCACATGCCTGCTGGGCTGGGTTGCCTTTGGGGGGGGGGGGGAGTGCTTTTTTAATGGTGAAAGTGGATTTGTGTTCTGAGTAGTGAGTTTTAGGGACTGCTGTAAACTTCATTTTTAAAGTTAATGTTTCCTAAACACTCTGGGTCAGTTGTTCTGTTCTCATAGAATGGCCCGATAGCCCATCGAACTCAGGCTGAAGGGCAGAATAGAACAGTGACCTACAACAGGGGCTTTTTAGGCAGAGATTTCCCTTCATCAGTGGTTCCCTTTCCCTGAGCATAGCCCCTGGGAATGCAAAAGATGAGTAATTGAGTCATGTGACAACTTATCCAGGAAATTAATTAGTGGGGGAGACAGCCCCTGCAGAAGTATAGAGCACAGGAGAGGTGGTGCCAAGCATTGTTGCAGAGGTCCAGAGGCTGTGAGTGCAGAGCAGGGGAGGAAATTCTGCCTTTGGGAAAGTCAGTAGAGCTGCCTTTGCATAGGAGCTTAATCAACGCGGGTGTAATGGAAGGGGATGAGGGTAGAGCTGGTTGCCTGTGGGTCAGGGGACTTGGGAGGCAAAAAGATGAGGGATGTTTTCATGAAACCGTTGTCCTGTGAGACTGTCGGTGTAGGTTGTAGGCCAGTGATGGTGAACCTTTTGAGCTCGGCGTGTCAGTATTTTGAAAAACCCTAACTTAACTCTGGTGCCGTGTCACATATAGAAATTTTTTGATATTTGCAACCATAGTAAAACAAAGATGTATATTTTTGATATTTATTTTAGATATTTAAGATGCCATTTAACAAAGAAAAATCAACCAAAAAAATCAGTTCGCGTGTCATAGGTTCGCCATCACTGGTGTAGGCAATGGTTAGATGAGAATAGAAAAGAGTTTGGACTTTTTTCTTTTGGCCTTTGTAACCCACTTATTCCTTTACGTATTCATTCAACAGATAATCATTGAACCCTGTGATGTATTAATACCCTCTTCTAGGTGGCTGAGATACATTAGTGAACAAAATTGGTAAAAGTCTCTGTTTTTATGGAGCTTACATCCTAGAAGTAGACAAAAATTATATGATATCCTAGACCAGTGATGGCGAACCTATGACACGCGTGTCAGAGGTGACACTTGAACTAATGTTTGGGGTTGATTTTTCTTTGTGAAATGGCATTTAAATATATAAAATAAATATCAAAAATATACATCTTTGTTTTACTATGGTTGCAAATATCAAAAAATTTCTATATGTGACACGGCACCAGAGTTAAGTTAGGGTTTTTCAAAATGCTGACACGCCGAGCTCAAAAGGTTCGCCATCACTGTCCTAGACAGTGGTTCTCAACCTTCTGGCCCTTTAAATACAGTTCCTCATGTTGTGACCCAACCATAAAATTATTTTCGTTGCTACTTCATAACTGTCATGTTGCTACTGTTATGAATCATAATGTAAATATCTGATATGCAGGATGGTCTTAGGCGACCCCTGTGAAAGGGTCGTTCGACTGCTAAAGGGGTCGTGACCGACAGGTTGAGAACCGCTGTCCTAGAAGGTGATGGTACCTCCGAAAAATAATTAAAAGTAGGAAAAGGTAAGGAGGGTTGAGTGGGAGATGTCAGGGCTTGTGGTAGGATGGCCATTTTAAATAGGATGGTAAGCTTATGCTTGTTGGTGACATCTGAGCGGACTTAAAGGAGGCCTGGGAAGGGGTTCTCCGGAAACACCCGAATGTGTGTCTGGTGTGTTCAGGGAGCAGCAAGGAGCCTACTATATCTTGAGCCAATGTTTTTGAGCAGGAAACTAGTATAGTTTCTTATTACTTTTAAAGATTGTTGTGAATAATGAAGCGTCAGAGCTCCTTTAGGGGCGTGGTTAGCAAATACCTGAAGTGGTCCACAGTGGGAGGGGAATGGGAGCCGAGATGGGTGAGGGGGATACCCTGAAAGCCCTATATATATGTAAACACTATGTATTTCCTTCCTTACATGTGTACTACGTGTTTAGTTAGGAATAAAAAAGATGTTTACCATTCTTAAAGTTGAAGCCACCAGAACAGTAAGAAATGGGGGAAGTTTTATAAGAAAAAAACTACATGTGGATACCTGTACTTGTTCTACCTTGAGGGGAGGAAATGGAGAGGGACTGGGTCCGGTCTGTTTTGATTCCTGATCCCAAGAGGTCTTACTGTTCATGTCACATGGAGTGGTATGTTTACCCATCCATCTCTACACTGGACTGTCAGTTCCTTTAGGGTAGGGCTTTGTAACTCCTCTTGTCCCTTGCTCCAGGGTACATAGGTGGTAAGTGGGTGTTACATGAACAAACATTCATAACCACTTAGCCCCAAGCAGCAGTTTTACACTTTCTGCATTTTCTGCTCCTTACATGGCAAAAATGATATTTTTCCAATTATAGTGACACTAATTTTGGGGGAAAAAATAATTGCATGACTTTAACAGTTTTAAGAAATTTTGTCTTAAAGACAGTGTTAAGATGTCAAACCCTGTTCCTCTAAGTCTAAAACCTATTTCAAAAGTATGATTCTTTTCCTGACTTTCCTGTACTACCTTTTTTTAAAAATCCTCACCCAAGAATATGCTTCCATTGACTTTTAACAGAGAGTGAGAGAGAGAAAGAGAGAAACATTGATCAGCTACCTCCCATACAAGCCTGCACCTGGGATCGAATCCACAATCTAAGCATGTGCTCTGACTGGGAATCAAACCACCACCCTCCGGTGTATGGGACAGTGCTCCAGTCAACCAAGCCACCTGGCCGGGGCTGTATTACTTATATTAAAATATACCTATTAAATATACCTTAATTATATCATCTAGACCTTTTTTTTAACAAAAAGAAAGTCATTTATGTTATCTCTTCTTTAGCATATCTATTTGTTTTGATGAATTTCCTCTTTTTTCTAACTGTGCATGTTTTTCCCTTAAACATTTCCAATTACAATATTTTAAATTTCACATAGTTTTTATGAGGGTTTTTTAAAATCACTTTTAATGGCTGTATTATATTGCTTTGTATGGACATACTAAAATTTGTTTAACCATTCCTCATAAGACATTTAGATTGTTTCTGAAATTTTTACTATTATAAATAATACTCATTTCTATGTAAATCAATATTTTAAAATTATTAGGGGGGGGGTTGTTTTGTTTTGTTTTGGTATTGAAATCCAGTGTGTATTTTGCACTTACCACACGTCTGGTTTAGACTAGCCACATTGCAGGTGCTCAGTAGCCACCTGTGGCTAGTGGTTTACTGTATTAGCGTAGTTCTAGAATGTGATTGTCTGACTTACTGGCATTTTGGGCATGGGAGAGCAGAGTGAGTGTAGGTGAGGGAGTAGTAGGTCAGGGATGAGGTTCAAGATGAAGTTAGGGAGATAGTGGGGGAACAGATTGTGAAGGCCTATGTAGGCCATTGTAAAGATTTGGCTTTGAATTGGGATGCCATTAGAGGTTTTGAAGCAAAGAAGTGACTTGATCTGACATGTTTTAACAAGATTACTCTAGTTGTTATATGGAAAACAGACTTGGGAGAGACACAGGAGTAGAAGGAGGAGAGAGGGAAGTTAGGAGGTTGTAGCAATGGTCCAGGTAAGAGATGATGGTGGCATGGACTAGGGTGAGGATGGTAGGAATAGGGAAAAGTAGGGAGAAATTAAAGGTTTGTACGCATGATCAAATTTGTGTTTTAGAGAAGGGCCTTCCACCGCCCTCTACTGGGGATTGTGCCCACAACCCAGGCATATGCCCTGACCAGAACCAAACTATGACCTTCCCAGTTCATAGGTCAGCACTCAACCACTGCGCCACACCAGCCGGGCTCATTGGCATTTTCATTCTGCCACAGTGCATGTGGTCAAGTCAGACACCTAGTAAATACTCGTGTCATCTTACGTGGCACAGTCAGATCCCTGACCTGGTCAGAAAAATTTGCCACGTTTCAACCCTTCCGTATTCCTGTGGGGACACAGCCACAGGGATGTGATACAGAGGAGCCAGTGTTGTGTATGAATGCAGTCATGCACTTCACTAAGCAGAGGGGCCACTCCTGTTTCTCTAAAATTCAGATCTCTGCCATCTCCTTGAGGCTCAACTCAGGAAACAGATGTGTGGTATGGGTCAGGCACTTGTTGAAACTAGTGTTTTAGAGTTAAAAACAATTTTATAGTAGCTGCCCTCATAATGCTCACCATCTAACTAAAAAAACAAGTATTCGAATAATTGTGTGTGTGCCAGGGGGCTTAAAGGACACAATACAGTGATTGGCCCTCCAGTGGGGAATCGGAAGGTTTCAGTGAAAATCTGCTAACGAATATCTGAAGTATGAAATGGAATTAGCAAAGAATGATATTTCCCAGGAACGGAAAAACAACCACATGGGGAGAAGGGCATGGACTAAGGCAGAAACCTCCAAGTAACCTTCCCTCGCAGCTCCAGCGACCTTATGGCTCTGCTTTCAACATCTAATTGTCTTTACCATAGTTTCTTGTATCCTTTTTTTTTTTTTTAATATATTTTATTGATTTTTTACAGAGAGGAAGGGAGAGAGATAAAGAGTTAGAAACATCGATGAAAGAGAAACATCGATCAGCTGCCTCCTGCACATTTCCCACTGGGGATGTGCCCGCAACCCAGGTACATGCCCTTGACCGGAATCGAACCTGGGACCTTTCAGTCTGCAGGCCGATGCTCTATCCACTGAGCCAAACCGGTTTCGGCTCTTGTATCCTTCTTGAGATAGAAATCTAACCAGGACCAAAGGATAAATTTCAAATAGGCCATGGCGACAGGTGTCTCATGGCTTAACAAGGCCTAGCAAGGCAAGCAAAAATCAAGCCACAAGCATCAGAACTGCCAATTGAGAGTCATGGAGGACCCTCAGCTAGCCTTGTTTCATTGGGGAGGTGAGGAGAAAGTGGTTGGAATGGAATAAGAAACATGAAAAGACCTTTGACCTAGCAATTCCAATTCTAGCTAGCTATTCTAGAGAAGTTCTGGCATAATTGCACAAACAGTATTTAATGCAGTCATGTTTGCAGTAGCAAAATATTGTAAATCATCCAAGTGTCTATTTACAGGACCTGGTCCATTCATTCATTCTCAGGGTGTTTGTCATCATTCACTGTCAGTCAAGGTATATAACTGGTGAAGACAGATAAAGTTCTCATGGAGCTCATAGTGGGGGAGGCAGACAAGCTAACAAGTAAGCAATCTCAGATAAGGCTTAGAAATACAAGTATCCCTTTTAATCTGTTTGATTCATGAGTTAAAGTGGCAGGAATTTGGGCAGTGAGAGATAACTGTCTGGAAGAAAATTAAACATGGTAATATCATGGAGAGTAAATTAAAGGAAGGTGCTGAGACAGCTTTTCTGAGGAAGTGATGCTGGAGATAAGACTGAAATAACTAGTAGTAACTAGTTGTCAGCCATGTAGAGATTCTAGGGGAGAGAGAGTAACAAGCATAAAGGCCCAGGTGGGAACAATCTTGAAGTATTCAAGGGTCAACAAGTTCAGCATGGCTAGGGCCCCGTGAATGGTGGGGAGTTTGAATTTTATTCTTAATACAATAGGTGCTGTTGGCTTTAGATCACAGGAATATTATTATATATGGAGTCTGTGAAGTAATTCAGAGGGTTAAGGTGAAGTTATATGTATTGCTATGGGAAGATCTCTAAGATCTCTAACTATTACATAGTTTAATGTAAAAATAAGTTGTAGAACACTATGGTATTTCACAAAACAAGACACTGGGTGCATGTGTGTAAGAAACATGGAATAGGGACTCTTTAAGTGTATGCACCAAACTTTTAACAGTGGTTATTTCTAGGGTTTAAATTAGGATTGGTGATGGGAATGAAGGAGGGCTGCCACTGCCACTTTTTACTTCCCACCATATTTGGATTTTGTAACAAAGGAAGGACACGGGCTGGGAGGTTGTGATTGCATGAAAAGGCTTGGCTTTGAAGGGAAATACAACAAAAAGTAAGGATTGCAGGATATACTGCTCCTCATGACTTTCTAGCCTGGATATTAAATTATGTAAGTGTGTAAACAACTACTATATGTAACCCAACATTGTCCCCTCAGGATATTAAATGTGATCATCGTTTCTAATAGACTCTACAGTGTGTTCCCAGTATTGCCATGAGAATGTTTGTGGTTGATCCTACTTGAGCATGAATGTGATCCTACAGGAATCAGTGACATTCAAGGATGTGGCTGTGGACTTCACACAGGAAGAATGGCACCACATGGCCCCTGCTCAGAGGCGCTTGTACAGGGATGTGATGCTGGAGAACTACAGCAACCTGGTTTCTCTTGGTAAGGACCACATCTTAATGTCTTGCCTGTTGGTGGGTCTTTCCTTTCTCAGTTACTGTGGTTGTGGAGTTCTGTGGCTGCGGCTTGGGTGGCTGTGAGCAGGGTGTGGGTGTTCAGTGTCAGAGCCTGTTCATCTTTTGGGACCCAGCCTTACGGGTATCTGAGCCTGCTCTTCAGGTAAAAGGTCTTTCTTTTGCAGAACTGGGAGTAGGCCGTTTGATTGCATAATATCTCAAGTTGCCCGTTTTCTTTTCCTTCAGAGTTCATGAGGATCAAGGACTACTACTGACTTGTAGGAGACTTCTTTGTCTACTTGCACAAACAAACAAATCTTGTGTTTTTACCCATGAGCAGGATATCAAGTTTCCAAGCCAGAGGTGATTTTCAAATTGGAGCAAGGAGAAGAGCCATGGCTATCAGAGGGAGAAATCCAAAGATCTGTCTGTCCAGGTAAATGAGTGAGGATCATGCTTGTAGGAACCAGTGCAGACAGTGGCATAGCTGAGGGAGTGGGAAGCATTTTCAGATTGCTGTCCTGGGAGCGGACAGCTCATAGACAGGCAGAGGAGGCTGAGCTATCATGACACCTCTGTATATCTCCCTTCTCCAGTAGGGTGCTCCTACTGCTGGTAGGTCTTAGAGGAAAAGATACCACTTTGTTCTACACTTAGTATACCGTTTCTCCTGTCCTATAACCCTACTTGCTGGATTATTTTCTCCTCTGTATCCTAAGTCTCCCATCATTATTTAGCAATCCCTTTTCTTACTCATTCAGACATAATTGAACTTCCATGTCTCTTTGTTTCGTCTCACTGTCAGCTGTCCCAGACTTGTAGGAAATATCCACAGCCTTGATTCTTCCTCTCTTCATAATTTGTTTTTAGACTTCCTCCCCTCACTACACCTGTCTAGGGAGAAATATGGTCTTCCATCCATTCTGTGGCCATGTTGATTTGACTCATTGCCTCTCTCCACAGTTCCTAGAATATCATTTTCTCCTGGTCTCTCACCTTGTTAAGTGCTTCTTGGCTTTAGGTCTTTGGCTTTTCTTGCTTTTCCCTCTAAGCAAATATGCCTTAAGGCAGCAGTTCTCAACCTGTGGATCGTGACCCCTTTGGAGGTCGAACGACCCTTTCACAGAGTTTGCCTAAGACCATCCTGCATATCAGATATTTACATTACTATTCATAACGGTAGCAACATTACAGTTATGAAGTAGCAACGAAAATAATGTTATGGTTGGGTCACAACATGAGGAGCTGTATTTAAAGGGCCAGAAGGTTGAGAACCACTGCCTTAAGGAGTCTGTCCTCCAGGCTCCTCCCCCTTCTTTGTTCCAAAGAGGGTGCCTGCCTTCTGATGGTTGCAGCTCTTTATTTATGCTATAGACTCAAAAATCATCCTTGTCTGTACCCTGGTCACTTATTTCTTTTCACAGAACACCTTCACTCGGAAGTCCCACTCAGTTCTTATTAAAGATATAAAATCTGAATTAATCTTCTTGCCCATCACTCCTTTCTACCCTGGCCTGTTAGAAACCTTTTAGTATTTCTAATCTCTCAGACCAGACGCCATAGTCTTTTTCTTTCAACCCAGGTTATTTTCCTTCTTTCCTGCCTTTAACTTCCACTGGTATCATCTTCAACCAAACCCCAGGCTTAGATTACTATAATTTCCAGTTAAAATTGCTCCCTCCATCTTTTTTTATAATCCATATTAGATTTTTTTAAATTGATTTCAGAGAAGGAGAGGGAGAGAGAGATAGAAACATCAATGATGAGAGAGAATCATTGATCAGCTGCCTGCTGCACGTCCCCTACTGGGGATCGAGCCCACAACCCGGGCATGTGCCCTTGACCAGAGTCGAACCTGGTACCCTTCAGTCGTCAGGCTGATGCTCTATCCACTGAGCCAAACCAGCCAGGGCCCATCCTTTTAAAGTGTACACTTCAATGGTTTTGGGATATACAGCGGGGCCTTGACTTACGAGCATCCCGATTAATGAGTTTTTCGAGATACGAGCCGTCTCTCAGCCGATTTTTTGCTTTGAGTTGCGAGTTAAAATTTGGGTTACGAGCCAGCTACAGATACCCTACCGCTAGTTGGCGCAGCGAACGAACGTCACATTGAATGCTATAACATCAGCCCAGCATCATGTGTCTCATTCATTTTTTGATTTGACATATGAGTAATTTGAGTTACGAGCTCTGTCACGGAACAAATTAAACTCGTAAGTCAAGGCTCCACTGTATACAGAGTTGTGCAACCATCACCACTATGTAATTACACAACATGTTCACCCCAAAAGGAAACCCTGCACCTAGTAGCAGTGACTTTCTATTTCCCATACCCCAGCTTCTGGCAACCATTAATCTACTTTTTCTCTGTATGGATTTTCCTATGCTGGGTATTTTCTGTAAATGGAATCATATAATATGTAGCCCTTTGTGACTAGCTCAGCCATGGGCAAACTACGGCCCGCGGGCCGGATCCGGCCGGTTTGAAATGAATAAAACTAAAAAAAAAAAAGACCGTACTCTTTTATGTAATGATGTTTACTTTGAATTTATATTAGTTCATACAAACACTCCATCCATGCTTTTGTTCCGGCCCTCCGGTCCAGTTTAAGAACCCATTGTGGCCCTCGAGTCAAAAAGTTTGCCCACCCCTGGACTAGCTTCTTTCACTTAGCATATGTTTTTAGGGCTCATCTAACATGTATTACTTCATTTCTTGGTATTCATTCCTTTGTATTTATTCCATTGTATGCATATAACCACATTTTATTTATTAATCACTTGATGGGCCATATTGGACATTTTTAATGCTTTATCTTTATAAACCACCCACCCCAGAAAAAACCTTGCTGTTACTCCCTATATCTCATTATAGAAAATAAACATCCTTGATTTAAATGTCTGCATCAAACCTTCCAGTATGATCTTTCTATTCCCACCAAAGCAACCTTCACTTAGGTTGAACTTCTTTTTAATGTTCTTTGTAAGTAGCATATACTTTCCCTCATTAGATAATGCTTTCTGCCTATCCAAAACCATCTATTCTTTTAAGTTCAAGGTCTGTCTAATTCATGAAACCTAATGCATACTAACATATTTACTTCTTCCTTCCCTGGTCAGAAATACTATTTATATCATCTCTACCACACAAATTCAGTTGTAATAATATATTACTCAATGATTTTTTCTTTGTCTTTTTATCTTTCTTTTTAGTTGTCAAAAGATTGAGTCTAGATTTCAAGCTACTAGAGAGTCTGTTTTTATTTCTATATATTCTATCTGTGGTGCAAAGCATGTTAGCAGGCAGTTAGATTGATTGTTATGGAAACTGGCTTGGGAGAGAATTTTATTATCCACTTATTTCAACAAATATTTCTTAAATTGTTCCACTGAGAAGTATTCTAAAAGAAATACAAAGCATTCCCTGTCCTTAGAAATTTAGAATTGAGTCTTGTTACAGGGTAAGGAATTTTGATGTTTAGGGCCCCTTAGTTGCTATGTTATTCCCTCCTAACATTTTATTATGAAAATTTTCAAATATATGAGAAATTGAAGAAATTATACAGTGAACACTAATTGTATAGTTAACATTTTGTTATATTTGCTTTATCACATACCTCTTCATCTGTTCATCTGTCAATTTATCTTTTATGTATTCCAAGTAAGTTGCAGATGAGTATATTTCATTCCTACATTTTTTCATGTGCATATCATTAACTAGAGCTCAATATTTGTTAATGGTTTTTAGAGATCAATTTATTAGGCAGATTAAAATAAATCCTTTTTGGTTAAGCAAGGTGGTTAGTGTAGAATCAAATAGACAAAAACCACAGCCCCACTTGTAAGGGCAAGAATGATTTGCCTCTTGAAATATTTTTCTTAGTGTATGACATCTAGCCCTTGATCTTCCGGTGTATCAAAGAATCATTTTTGTTAGGTCACTGGCTGCAGATTTTTCACTTCAGGGTTTGACCATCTGGAGCCTCAGAGATAACATTTAAAGAAATTATAAAACAGATATATTAGGGAGATAGATTCTATAGTGGTTTGTAAAATGGAAAGGAGTCATAGAGAGCAGATAAGATACTGCAAGATGGACTGTGATCCTTTTTCCTTTGTATCTATGCCTAACACTTTCTTAATCACTTATCTCCTTACTCCCTAATCAGCCCTTCTAGCCGGGCTTCCTAGTTCTGAACTTATCATTCATTCTGGATCTGCAGTCTGTATTATCATATCTCTTCACTCTTCCTTTCCTCCATTTTGGGTATTCTCCCCAAACTGCAGGGCTGACTTCAAAACAGAGTCGTGTATAATTTAAATCTCATTTCCTCATTCCTACTGTAGCAGTTTGTGTCAGCAGGAGGGAATAGGGGACTTTTGCACTTTGGATTTCTTTCAGACTGGAAGACCAGGCCTGTGGCCAAATCATCAAATCTACAGCAGAGCACATTTGAAGTATCCCTGCACACAGATGATCTCTCATGTGCTACATTAGAAGATGTGAGTAATCAGTTAGAGAGGCACCAGGAAAACTGGAAGAGGTATCTGGGGCCAGATGTATCCACCCAAAAGAAAATAATCACACCAGAGAAAACCTTGGAGCATAATAAATTTGGTGAAAACTCTAGATTGAACACAGGCCTGGTTACACAACTGAACATTCCTTCAAGGTCTAGTGAATGTGATACACTTGGAATCAATTTGGGACATAATTCAGACTTACTTAATCAGAATAATATCCTTGTAAAAAAGAAACCTTATAAATGTAATAAATGTAGAAAAGCTTTTATTCATAGATCATCACTTACTAAACATGAGAAAACTCATAAAGGAGAGGGAGCTTTTCCCAATGGTACAGATCAGGGAATTTATGCTGGAAAGAAACACCATGAATGTACTGACTGTGGGAAAACCTTCCTATGGAAGACACAGCTTACTGAACATCAGAGAATTCACACAGGGGAGAAACCCTTTGAATGTAATGTGTGCGGGAAAGCCTTCAGGCATAGTTCGTCCCTTGGTCAGCATGAGAATGCACATACCGGAGAGAAACCCTATCAGTGTAGTCTCTGTGGGAAAGCCTTTCAGCGCAGCTCCTCACTTGTTCAACACCAGAGAATTCACACTGGAGAGAAACCCTATCGATGTAACTTATGTGGGAGGTCTTTCAGGCATGGCACGTCCCTCACTCAGCATGAGGTCACACACAGTGGAGAGAAACCCTTTCAATGTAAGGAATGTGGGAAAGCCTTTAGTCGATGTTCTTCCCTTGTCCAGCATGAGAGGACTCATACTGGAGAAAAACCTTTTGAATGTAGCATATGTGGGAGGGCTTTTGGTCAGAGCCCATCCCTTTATAAACATATGAGGATTCATAAGAGAGGGAAACCTTACCAAAGCAATAACTATGGCATAGACTTCAAGCACAGCTCATCTCTTACTCAAGATGAAAGCACTCTGGTGGAAGTGAAATCCTACCATTGTAATGACTGTGGGGAAGACTTCAGTCACTTTACAGACTTTTCTGACCATCAGAAGATCCATACTGGACAGAGCCCCTATGATTGTGAGCAGACCTTCAGTCAACAATCTATTTCTCATCCTGGAGAGAAACCCTATCAGTGTAATGTATGTGGGAAAGCTTTCAAAAGGAGTACAAGTTTCATAGAGCATCACAGAATTCATACTGGAGAAAAACCCTATGAATGTAATGAATGTGGAGAGGCCTTCAGTCGACGCTCATCACTTACTCAACATGAGAGAACCCATACAGGAGAGAAACCCTATGAATGTATTGACTGTGGGAAAGCCTTCAGTCAGAGTTCATCCCTCATTCAGCATGAGAGAACTCATACTGGAGAAAAACCCTATGAATGTAATCAATGTGGGCGAGCTTTCCGAAAGAAAACCAATCTACATGATCATCAGAGAATTCATACTGGAGAAAAACCCTATACTTGTAAGGAATGTGGGAAAAACTTCAGTCGAAGCTCAGCTCTAACTAAACACCAGAGAATTCATATGCGAAATAAACTCTAAGAACCTTGGAATTTTTTTTAAAAAATGTGCAGAAAGCTTTAGCTAAAATATTGTTCATACTCATTGTCAAAGGATTCTTGCTGGATAAAAAGCTTGAGAATGTCACAAATTATGTGTATTTGTATGTTGTGTGCAGAGAAAACTCTGCTAGTAGACAATTTTTTTCAATAAAAGCCACATTCTTAGATCTGGTTACAAACTTTTATAAAAACAACTACAAACATAATATATAACCTGTTGGAAATGGTATGCCTATATATTGGACTTTATAAAACTTGTTAACATATATGTGCAGGAGATTACAAACTTTCAACAATTTGACTTGCAAGTGTTACTGTTTACAGCCTTTTTTATAGATAAAATTCCTGCATTAATGACAAAAACTCATTTTAAAAATTGCTTGACAACTGCATTCAATTGCAGCTCTTATATTGAATGCACCATGGAAACCAATTCCACCTCCAGAAATTCACCATTCAAAGAATTAGATCAGCAGTCCAGCTACTTCATTGTACAGACGAAGAACCTGAAAACCAAAGATGTGAAATGGTTTGCGCAGTATGCTACAGCTTATGGTGGTAAAACTGGTATAGGATGCAGGTCTCCTGGCTCTTTGGCTCCAGGGTCTTGACACTGAAAAGCTAATTTGGAATTCAGAGGGCTTTTAAATAAATTTTAAATCAGATGCACAAACATTTAATGAGCACTTAAGAATTCATAAAAGCATAAGAGGCAGCAAATTTAAATTTGTCACAAACTTATTTAAAGCAACTTGTTAGAAGCTTACAAACCAAAATGTTAACAGAAACTAAATGGTTGAACTAAAGTATCATAATTATACTTTCAGCTAACATGTCAGTTTTATAGAACTATTAAGTCCTTCTCTGCACTGCCCCAAGCTTCCTATATTGGATCAATGAGAAAACAACACAAGACTAAGACAAGAATTTTCCCCAAAATTAATTTGACAGTGTAGAAGTATAAATTCAGTTACCTCTTGCCATAAAATTTGCCTTTAAATTAACACATGTGCCAAGGAAATATTTCACCATAAAAAAATAATAATAACTTAAGCTTGGTGTTGCTTTTCCATCCGTAAAGCCTGAGAGCTAAGTCAGTTTCAGTAGCCCACTCAAATCCTTAGTGTCCCTTAGTGGGAATTCATAGGTCATCCCAAAGGAATTTCAAGAAGCTTTGTTGGTTCATTGGCACTAACAGTGCAGATAATTTTAGAAGCAATTGTGGACATTGACCCCTTTCAAAATACATGAGCATCTTTTCTCTAAGATAAAACAATTTTTCCACCTTGATGAGTCATGGGGAGGAGTAATATGAGTGGTGATGATGAAACCTTTCATCCATCATCCTTATCTCATCCTGGATAACAGGAGACAGCTCCCAACCATTCTTCATAGTTCTTTTGCAGGAAAATGTGCCTGGGGGTTGAAATATGGCATGTCTAGCCCATTGTCTATCATATATGAAGCAAGATGGGATACTCCCTAGCCGATTTGCCCATCTAAGACATTAGCCATTCAAAACATGCCTTGTTTATGATATGCCATGCTGAGTGCACATTCAATGCCAAAGTCATGCTTGTATTGTCTGGTACATAGTTTGACAATATGTAATACTCAAACCTTCCCTATTGATTGGCCAAGATGCCTATCAGGGACTCATTTTGCTGCTGATTGTTTGGGGATCCTCATAGTGGACTATTTGTAAAAATGGCATGAATTGTAACCAATTGAGTGCTACCCTACTGTTATAGAAGTTTATAAACACTTTAGATCTAGAAGACCCAAAGGAGACCACTGGTTTGTGTGTGGAGTCTGGCCTAGATCCAACCAATCTCCGAATCTCAGCACATCTTCATTAACAGGGAGGGAGCCCAGGATATATGTGTGGCTAACAGAGCAGAGGATTCTGTGGTCCCAGCATCTATGCACCGTGCACTTATGACCACCTAGCTTTCTAGGCCACATGAAATGCATCCTTGTAACATCGTTGTGTCATTTCAATAAATAGCCTTCTTAGTTGAATGGGAGTCAGTATGTCTATTTCAATTTTCAGAAGTTGACTAAGAAAAGAGTGGCATATCAAGGAGGGATTAACTGCTGAACTCTTCACAGCCAGGTGAGTTAATAACAGCTACCATTTATTGAATGCTTGCTACTTGAAAGACACTGTGCCAAGTACTTGGTAGCCATCATTTCAGTTAATTCTTAAAGTTCCCCATTCTAGGTCTTGTGGTAACTGTTGTCTGCCCAGCTTTTTTCCTCTCTTTCCTTGTAACAATCCCTGCTGTACCGATCACAGGAATACAAAGCAGGACATGCCTGGGGCTCAGTGATAGTTTTAGGGGAAAGCATGTGCCTAGTTGAGCCAATATCAGAGTCCTTTGCCAGGATTTTTCAAAGCAGAGTTAGCAGGGAAATTTTAATTTGGGGTTGCTAGGCTGGGAGGATGAAGGCTAGAGCTGCCTGGAGCCCGATTCCCTACCAGAGGGGAGGTCTCTTGTGAAAGAGGGTGCCACTGACATGATGGTGTTCTCTTTACTAATCCCTGAAGTCTTTGGACCTGCCTCAATTTCTGAAGCATTTTGTAGGATTCAGTGGGCTCCCCACTATCAGTCCAGTGATTCCCCCCTTTTTGACTAAAGGCTAATCTGTTAGACTCAGTTTCTTTTTTTCTTTTTCTTTTTTCTTTTTTTTTTTTACATTTTTATTGATTTCAGAGAGGGAAATACCAATGATGAGAGAAAATCTTTGATCAGCTGCCTCCTGCATGCCCCCTACTGGGGTTTGAGCCTGCAACCCGAGCATGTGCCCTTGACCAAAATCAAACCGGGGACCCTTCAGTCCGCAGGCCGACGCTCTATCCACTGAGCCAAACCAGTTAGGGCTAGACTCAGTTTCTTGCATTAATTAAATCTAATACATGTATTATGTCCTTGTTTTATAATGGTTGGGGGTTGGGGGGATGGGACCCAGAGGTAAAGTAACTCACCCCAGGTAGTACTGCCCTTGGCATACTTAGACTCAGGACTGGCTGCAAAGGCTCTTAACCACTAACTGATGTCTCAAGGGCCATGTTGGGTTCAAGGAGCCCATAGTGCAGTGTCATTTGGGGGTGAGTAGATACAAGAATATGGTGATAGGTCAGAGACCAAAAGGAGACAAAATGATGAAGGGCCTTGGAATGTTTTCTTGACTCAGTAAATTAAACCCCTAAATTCACTCACAACCCTCATACCTTAATGTATCATTTAAATCAGCCTATACTGTAGATAAAAATATTATATCCTCTTTAAAGAACAACTTTCATATTTTCCATGGTGCTACTACATAGTCTCAATTTCCTTAAGTCCCCCATTGTGACAATTTTATAATAATGACATTGAGTACTTCTATCTTTTTAAGGACTCCCACTTTATAGAATCTTTTATGTTAATTTTTAACATATCCAGAATGAAAATGAGATAAAATATCCGAAGTGAGATGGTTAGGTCAGCAGGTAGAGGTTAGTATAACCGGGTGGTGTGAGATTCATACCAGAGTAAACTAGATATGATAGCCCAGGAGTAATCATCTCAAAATTGCAAACAGGACCCAAGAGAAAAACCAGCCTCCCACCCTGGGGAAGGTCCCAGGGAAGGCCTCTCCCCTGAGCACCTAACACACCTCTGCCTACATGGGAGAGAAGAAAAACACTTCTGCAGTTTCTATGCATATTGATGGTGGTCATGTTAAGTTCTTCATAGCTGCTAAACTAGTTAAGTCTTACTCATCTTAAAAATGCAAATGTAGCTGGCTGCCCTATTTCAACTAAATTGGTGTCTCTCTTAAATTTTCAGAGATAACTGTTAATGACCATCATGGTACCACAATCTGTGTTTGTGATTATTTGCTGTTCTTCCTCCACCTTGCACTAGATTATGAATTTCAGGATGGCTGAGTCCACATCTATTCTGCTAACTTTTTCTTTACCTACTTATTACTAGTATAGTGCTAGGGATATAGGTACTTAATATAGTCTTGTTAAGTGAGCAATGGAGTAGAGATTTGTTGGTAGACAAAGAAGACTGGTTTATAAATAAAAAGATTCTCAATCTTGAAATTAGAATATTGCAAGAGAAAGCAGTAAGATACTATTTCTGGCAAAAATTTAGAAGTCTGGCAGAAGAAAAATGCAAGCTTGTATGTACTGCTGGCAGGTGGGTAAATTGGTATAATTATTTTGAGAGTAGAGATTTCCAGTAAAGTTGAAGCTAAGCATGCTTCATGACCCAAATGAGATGGATACCCTAGACTATAAATTCTCCCAAGTGAGCACAAAGGCATACATGAGGATGCTCATTGCAGTAATGTTTGAAATAGTGAAAATATGGACATAACACAAATGCCTGTCAGTAAGTGAATGGGTTAATAAGTTGTGGCATATTCTTATATAATACAACACAGTGCTTAAATGAAGGAACCAGAGCATCTGGCAAAACATGCTATCTCTGCCTATTCTACTCCTACGTCCATGCATTCTAAATGTTTGTTTTATTATGTGTCCTACTCTGGAAGGTAAGCTCCATGAGAGTAGAGATTGGGGGTGGGGAGCACATGTTATTGAAGCATAAAAGCATACAGAAAAGTACAAAATAGCCAGTGAACAACTTGATGATTGAGGATGGCTACTCTCGGATCTTTTGTGTAGTGCCCTGTCCCCCAGCATAGAATTTCAAATATTTAACAAATACATGCATTAACATGCCTACCATATTGAAAATAAAGTTACAGAGGAATGTATATAATGTGGGATGTTATAACTAAAAGAAATCGATTAACCTGTTTTTATCATCTCATGAGGTAAAAGGAGGAAGGTATTCAAATATCAGCTTCAGAATGTTGGTTTCCTCTAGAGCTAATGGGGAGAGGAATAGGAAGGAATAAAAGAAGGCTTAAACTCCTATCATTTTAAAATATGGCAAGAGCCCTGGACGACTTGGCTCAATGGATAGAGCGTCGGCCTGTGGACTGAAGGATCCCAGGTTCGATTCCGGTCAAGGGCACATGCCTGGGTTGCGGGCTCAATCCCCAGTAGGGGTTGTGCAGGAGGCAGCCAATCAATGATTCTCTCTCATCATTGATGTTTCTATCTATCTCCCTCTCTCTTCCTCTCTAATAATAATAATAAATAAAATAAAATATGGCAAGATATTTACATTTGTTAAAGGAGTATGATGCATAGGTATTTATTGTATGTGTTTCTCTGAACCTTTAATCTCTTTAATAATTGAAGTCCGCGTCTTGCTCTCATCTGGTCTCACCCATAAAGCCACCTGCTTGGTTCCCCTCAGGGTATGAGCCTGTTGAGCCTGTATATGTAGTGTTTCCAAAAGGTAATTATTTTCAGGAGTTGGTGGAAAGAGAACTAATTTTTGCTAATAAATTTCAGTGAAAGCCCTATAATTTTGAGAAAACACTTTATTTTGGACACATTTTTAATTATTTTTAATTCTTTATTGTTGAAAATATTACATATGTCCCCTTCTCCCCCCTCCCCCATTGACTCCCTCCAGCCGGCCCCCACCCCAGGCCCTCACCACCCCATTGTCTGTGTCCATAGGCTATGCATATATGCATGCAAGGTCTTTGGTTGATTACCTCCCACCCATCCATCCTCCCCCACCTTCTCTCTGAGATTCCTCACTCTGTTCCATGCTTCCATGTCTCTGCATCCACTCTGTTCATCAGAGTATTTTGTTACTGAGATTCCACATATGAGTGAGATTATATGATACTTGTCTTTCTCTGACTGGCTTATTTCACTTAGCATGATACTCTCCAGGTCCCTCCATGCTGTCTCAAAGGATAAGAGATTCTTTTTTACTGCTGCATAGTATTCTTTGGTATAAATGTACCACAGCTTTTTTTATCCACTCATTTACTGATGGGCACTTGGGCTGTTTCCAGATCTTGGCTATTGTAAATTGTGCTGCTATGAACACAGGGGTACATACACTTTTTCTGATTGGTGTTTCAGGTTTCTTAGGATATATTCCTAGAAGTGGGATCACTGGATCAATGGCAGTTCCACATTTAATTTTTTGAGGAACCTCGATACTGTTTTCCATGATGGCTGCACCAGTCTGCATTCCCACCAGCAGTGTACTTGGGTCCCCTTTTCTCTACATCCTCACCAGTACTTGTCATTTGTTGATTTGTTGATGGTAGCCATTCTGACAAGTGTGAGGTGGTACCTCATTGTCATGGACAAACAGATTTTAATGGATAAAGGAACCAAGAAATTTTGAACTGATGTATAGATGATATTTTATGCTATGACCAGATAAGTAGCTGTAATAACTAATGGGATTTTGCTTTACAATGTACATTAAGAAACTAGCAATTATCAATTGTTCCTGAATTTTAATGCTCATTTTCAAAAGTTAAGAATTGTCACAGGATTTTGGCTTGGAGTGACTGAGAAAGCCCCAACCAAAGGTGAAAACAAAATGTCATGTTATCCTACATTATAAAGGGTGGCATGAAGACTGGGCACACTGTCCCACAGGATTCACTAGGACGTGTGAGACTTGCACATGTAACCTTGCAACAAGTGTCAGATCCAGAGGAGAGAGGGGCCTTATGTTCCTGCCTTGAGGCCTTTGCCCCTCCCCTCAGGGCTAGGTAATTCAGGCAGGAGAGAATGACTGCAGGTATTGACATCTGAAATCATGGGAGCTGGTTTCACTGTCTCCATCCTCAGTGAAACCACTTCTGGCTGCCACCTGGAGTTCTTGGCAGAGCTTGCTGTCTACCCTGAAGAGTGCATATGCAGTGGTGAGGGGATAGGGAGGGATCAAACACAGAAAGGTTCCCACAGCTGACTGGAGATTTCTGAAGGGCCGGGAATCCTGCTGGAGTAGCTAGCCCCTGGCAGCAGAGCGTGGAAGCCCTCCGAGGCTCTGCATTTGTGTTGTGTCTAGAAAGAAAAGGGTAGAACAACTCCATTGGTTTTCTTTGCTGCCAGAGATCACGAGACAGGATTTCAATGCATCTTGGATAGGATGACCATATAATTGACCATCTAAACTGGGAACCTTAAGAATGAAGGGGAAGCTGACCATACTGTAAGCTGGGGCTGTGCTGGAAAACCGGGACATATGTTTACCCTGTGCTTGGAGCTCCCAGGAGGGAGGAAGGTGGAGTAGCAGGGGCCAAAGGGCTGTGTCCAGTAGCTGCCCAACCAAACTAGGGGATGACCCACCTGGAGAGGGGTTAGAGGCAAAGACTGCATGGACTAGTCTGCCCCGCTGTGAATGAACACAGGGGACTGGGGTGAAACTGCACGTAGTACCCAGACAGCCACCCATCTCCCTGAGAGAGGACATCCCTGTTGGGACAGGCCACTGGTCCCAGGTCAAACAGGAGTAACCCAGCTGACCCGAACCTACCTTCTCCTTCGCTCTGGCCCAACCAACGCTAGGAGAAGCCGGTTGGGCATATCGGCATCTAAGAATAAGGTATGAGCCCTGGCTGGTGTTGCTAGAAGGTTATAGCATCCACCAGGCACCAAAGGGTGGCGGGTTCGATTCTCCACCAAGGGCAGGTGCCTGGGTCGCAGGCTCCATTCTCGGTGCCTCGGGTCTCGAGAGAAGGAATCAATCGGTGTCTCTCACCTCTCTCTCTCTCTCTCTCTCGATCAATAGG